CTTCTCATTCTCCCCTCATCACCATAGTATCCAAGTACTTTAAAAACATTAATGAATTTATCCTTATAGTACTCCTTCTGAGGAAGGGACGTATTATCCCCATTTTACAGAAGTGGAACCAAGGCACAGAATAGATAAAGGACTTGCCAAAGGTCTCACAGGGAATTTGTGAAAGGTCCAGCAACTGAAACCTAAACTCTGGAACATTAGCCTAATGTCTTAATCACAAGATCATTCTTCTTCCTTTTCCTGAAATTTTTCCCATATTTCAAGTATTAATCAGAAAACTTTAAACTATTTTCACTCAACCATATTCACTGAATTGAGACAATTTGCTGGTTTGCCATCACCCTTCCTTTATATCTTGAGGGAAATGCTGTATGATCCAAGAGTCAATTAATATTACTTATTTTCCAATAGCAGCAAATTCATAACATGAGCACATACTACCAACATCCCCACCTTCTGAGCCAAAATCCTGATAAAATCTCTATTGAAGGAAATATACAGATAACGGTTCTGTTACAGTATAGCTGGTCCCAGAAAACGAATCTTTGCTTAAGAGCAGCCATTCCACTTCCTCACAATCACCTTCCATTTGTACCACACAAAAGCCAATAAACAACTCAACATCTTCCTGAATGGACACACTCTGGCCCATGACCAAAGCGTATGTGTCTAGGACAGCAGTTTTCAAACTGTGGGTCGGAACTAGTAGATACTCAGCTGAATGAAGCCATGCACATAACAGGTACCAAGTAGGGCTGTCGATTAATCGCAGTTAACTCATGCGATTAAACTCAAAAAAAATTAATCATGATTAATCGCAGTTTTAATTGCACTGTTAAATAGAATACCAATTGAAATTTATTAAATATCTTGGATATTTTTCTACATTTTCATATACGTTGTATTCTGTGTTGTAATTGAAATCAAAGTGTATATTTTTATTATAAATATTTGCACTGTAAAAAATAAATCTCATACAAGTACTGTAGTGCAATCTCTGTCGTGAAAGAGCAACTTACAAATGTAGATTTTTTTTGTTCCATAACTGCACTCAAAAACAGAACAATGTAAAACTTCAGAGCCTACAAGTGCTAAGAGAAACGAGTTTGTTTACATTTACAGGAGATAATGCTGTCCTCTTTTTATTTACAATGTCACCAGAAAGTGAGAACAGGCAATTTGCACGGCACTTTTGTTGCTGGCATTGCAAGGTCTTTATGTGCCAGATATGCTAAATATTCATATGCCCCTTCATGCTTCGGCCACCATTCCAGAGGACATGCTTCCATGCTGATGATGCTCATTAAAAAAATAATGCATTAATTAAATTTGTGACTGAACTCCTCAGGGGAGAATTGTATGACCCTTGCTCTGTTTTACCATATATTTCATGTTATAGCAGTCTCGGATGATGACCCAGCACATGCTATTCATTTTAAGAATATTTTCACTGCAGATTTGACATAACGCAAAGAAGATACCAATGTGAGATTTCTACAGATAGCTACAGCGCTCGACCCAAGGTTTAAGAATCTGAAGTGCCTTCCAAAATCTGAGAGGGATGAGGTGTGGAGCATGCTTTCAGAAGTCTTAAAAGAACAACACTCTGATGCGGAAACTACAGAACCTGAACCACCAAAAAAGAAAACCAACCGTTTGCTGGTGGCATCTGACTCGGATAATGAAAATGAACATGCGTTGGTCCGCACTGCCTTGGATTGTTATAGAGCAGAACCCGTCATCAGCATGGATGCATGTCCCCTGGAAAGGTGGTTGAAGCATGAAGGGACATATGAATCTTTAGTACATCTGGCACGTAAATACCTTGCGATGCTGGCTACAACCGTGCCATGAGAATGCCCGTCCTCACTTTCAGGTGACATTGTAAACAAAAAGTGGGCAGCATTATCTCCTGCAAATGTAAACAAACTTGTTTGAGCAATTGGCTGAACAAGGAGGAGGACTGAGTGGACTTGCAGGCTCTAAAATTTTACATGGTTTTATTTTTGAATACATTATTTTGTACATAATTCTACATTTGTAAATTCAACTTTCATGATAAAGAGATTACTCTACAGCACTTGTATTAGGTGAATTGAAAAATACTATTTCTTTTGTTTTTTTACAGAGCAAATACTTGTAATAAAAAATAATTATAAAGTGAGCACTGTACACTTTGTGTTCTGTGTTGTAACTGAAATCAATATATTTGAAAATGTAGAAAGCATCCAAAAATATTTAAATAAATGGTATTCTATTATTGCTTAATCGTGCAATTACTTTTTTTAATCACTTGACAGCCCCAATACCAAGAGAATGATCAACCTGGCCTGGTTGCTGGTCCTGTCCAAAATCGTCACCTTGCAGAATCTGCTCCTTAAGGAGCAAAACAAGCCACATCTACCCCTGCTTACAGATTAGTTTAATCCATTGAGCCATCATCTCAGCTCAATTCCCCTAAGAACCCTTGATATCACCTCCAGGTGGCACTGTAGCTGGCAAGAGCAAGCTTCAAACATTGACGGTGCCTATCTCATGACAGATCCAACAGTCCAGCCCCTAGTTTTGACATTTCATTTGCCATTTTTGGGTAAAGCTCAACCACTTGTAGAATGATCAGATGTGTTGACCATTACTATGGTCTGACCTTAAGAGCCCCTCCATGCCGACTGGCAGAGACCCATTATTTTGTAATTCCTATCAGACCTGACACATTCACTCCACCTATCACATTGCTCTCATTCATCTGTAAAGACTACCGTGCGAAGTATCAAATGAAAGCTGGTGACACATCAGTCATTAATATCATTACATGATGTATGTACAGATGGTGTGTAAAGAGTTGTGTGTGTGCTGGAAATATGTTCCTAAAATGTGTTTTGGGAGCAGAGTTGATAAACAAATTTGTCCTAGACAAAGGAATGTTGATTTGCCTGTTTACATGTGTCTCTAATGTAAATTGAGCATGGTGATGCCAGAGACATTGGGCAGTTCCTTTACATCGGAGGTTAACATCCGTTATCAGGAGGATAAGTCATCCTGACTCTTGAGACCAAAGACAATGAACTTTAGGGAATATAAGGAGAAGCAAAAGAGCATTTTCTTATTCATCACTGGAGGAGGGAGGGAGGGAAAGAGGTCAGTGTTCTTTACATTCTATGAACGGTGGATCCCCAACTACTTAGGGCTGGTGATATTAAAAAGTAGCTGTAGGTGAGAAAACTGCCTTGGACAAGGATTGTAATCTGTTAAATTTTAGTCACTAGAAAGCGTGATTATATTTTTGTTTTATTTGTAACAATTTTCTGTTTCTGTTATCGCTGCTTAGAATCAAATTAATAAAACTTATTCTTGTTTTATTATAAATTCATCTCAGTGCTGTTAAGTGAGGTGTGAATCCACAGCTAAGCCAACAGGCTGGTGTGTATTCTGTCTCTTTGGAGACACGGGTATCCAGTGGCTGGATGCTGCACAGACACGCTTCTGGACAGTTAGGGAACTGAAGTACATCAAGGGTTAACCTGCAGAGCAAAGTTAGGACTGGCAGAGTGAGAAGGAGTTTGTTTGGCTGGCTAACAGACTGGGGCGGCAGAGAGCACCAAAAATGTGTATACAGAGTGTAGTACCAAAAATATTTCTTTTGCTAAAGCAGAAGGGTGACAGTGACTTACAGTTCCGGTTGCCCTAAAAAAAAGTGTCAATGGGGCCTTTGTAACTCCCCCACTTTGTCGCTGTGGCCAGTTAGAAGATGTACGCCACATGCATCAGCAAGGGCTGCTGGTTCCCTCATGGACTGGCATAATGCCCTCCTATCAGCTACTGAATGGTTAAGACATTTAAACTAACACACCTGACTTGATCATCTATGCCAGTGGTCCCCAACCTTTCTGTGTGGCGGGCACTGGACGACTAGCCGCCAAGGAGCATGGCCGCCAGACAAGCAGCCGCCAGAAGTAGTGTCATCAAGAGGCGTCGCCGCTGAAAAGCAGCAGCATTTCGGCGGCAACGCTTCTTGACGTTGCCGCTTCTCGGAGGCATTTTGGCGGCTGCTTGTCCAGAGGCCAGTAGGCAGGTGCACATAGATGCCCCGGCGAGCGCCATGGCAGCCGCGGGCACCGCGTTGGGGACCCCTGATCTACGCAGATGCAATGTTTAAGTTATATATTTTACAGTCATCATTCTAATATCTTATTTTAAGTAGGGAACCTATTTTAGACTTGAGCTGATCCTCTAGACCAGAGCTGGAATAGCAAGCATTTGATAGTATCCTGGGGAGAAACATCTCTCTATATTCAAGACTTGTCTATCTAAATAAATGAGAAAAAAACGGGCCAATTTTGACAACTAGAGGCACAATGGAATTCTGTCATATTGATTTTAGCACTATTAAGCAAATTTGGCAAATTAAAAACTGATCAAGCTCACCTGGGAAGATGTATTTAATTATAGAATATAAATGTGTATGTTGAATGATAGCAATGTTTTAAATCTAAATCTGAAATAGATTAGATTTAATAGTTTACTATTAGAAGAAAAAGGATTAACAATGAAAACAAAAAAAGGTGGATTTACATATAACTATATTCAGGCCCTTCCAAACTTTTAATCCTTATTTTTAAAACATTATCTAAATTCTGAAGCTGATTATGAGGGCACAGTTCAAAAATCCAAATGCAGATTTTTCATGCAACAGTTTGCTCAGTACTCTTTCACTGACCAATAAGGGTTCCTTTCCATAACTCATTCAGTGATCACTCATTTAAAAAAAAATTTAATCACTCACTAATATTTAGTGGATCATACAGATAGTTACATTTAAAGCTTACAAAAATAAACCAATTAGTCTAGTACACTTACCATCTGCATGAATCTTGAAACTAAAGGAGTAAAAAAAATTGTAATTTAAATATGCAGTTCAAATTATTTTAAAGAAAAATGGATTCCTGAAAGTATGAAAAGAATTTCTTCTATAAAAACAGATACAGACTTACAGTTTCACAAGTAAGACATCTGGTTTCATTAGTTAATGTTCCCTGAAAGATCTCATGAACCCAGGTTGGGTCTGGTGTGCTGTTATTGTTTTCATTGTCGATACTGCCATTAGGTAGACGGCCATTTTGTTTGTCCTGTTTTCTCTCTTCTTGTAAAATATCAGCAATTGTGTTTAAAAGATAGTTTAAGAACTCATGCGCATCCTGCTGCATGTAGTTGTCAAAGAGCTCTAAAACATGAAGATAAAATAAAATAACCAACTAATTAAAATTTTGAATAAAAAGTCCAATATAAAACTTTCAAAATATAAGTCAAAATATGGCATTAGCAGAACTTATTTCATAGACATATGCAATCAATTTTAACCTTAAAAAACCAGTGAAAGCATTAAAATTAAAACACTTTGGCAGAACAAGGTACTGTATAGATATTTGGATAAATACAGATAAGAAGGGATTCTAAGCAGAAGTTTATGATGTAAACACATATGGGAAAGAGAAAAGTGTACTTATGGAAAAGGCATTAAGTCCAATACAATGCCTTGAAATACAGGTAAATATTGATTAGGATGCTTTCTCAAAATCTCGCGCCCCCCCCCCCATATGTACTTGTTACAAACACAAATAAGGTAAAATTACATTAAAATGATTGCAGAGCACAATCTATTAAAATCTAAAGAAAAGGACACCATATAATATAGTTCAATGCCACATTTACATTCAAAGAAGTCCTAAGATGTTAGGCAAAAGTTGACATTGGTCTATGTCAAGAATCATGCATGACTAAGTACTTCTATAACATTACCCATAAAACCTATATTCCACAAACTTGAAGTCTGGGGATGAGAAAGTGCAGTGGTATAGAAGAACAGTCTTTTTATCCCATGTGTTTAGAAACTACCTAGAGTCAACAGGCTCAAAAGAAAGTCTTAAAGAACAGGTTTATGCATAGGATTGTTCAGTCAAAGCAGACACACAGCTTTGAACAGAGAAACCTTTCCTGACTCTGCTTTCATCAAAGGAAGAATATGACCACTATGGTCTCAAAGGCCAAGTCAACAGAGGTGCAAGGTTTTTGTTTTTAATTACCATCACTACACTATCACAAGTGCAGCTCCATAGGTGCTAGCAATGATGAAAACACTACTATAAACAAGGCCCCTACAGATATCAGTATTTTTAATGAGTATCATCTAATTGTTGAAAGCCATTTTAAAAATGGTGGTAGCTGCAGGTCCCTTGCCTACATATGGCTAAAAGGACTTAGCCTAAGACTCAAACTGGACAGGAGCAGTGACAGGCAATCACCAAACTTGTTCTCTCTTTTTGAGCAGTAGTTGACTCAAAGGAATTGCACATTCTCCTTAATTACCAACTCAAAAATTTTCTATACCTGCATAACTAATCATGCAATTCCTCCAATGGGGCTCTATATATTGGCTACATAGCAGAAATTGTGTTTCTACCTAACAAATTACAAGTTGCAACTTGTTCTTAGTCCAAGACTATAGAGCAAATGTTAGCCCATAAGTGAAGGAATGGTACCATAAATAGAAAGATTAACAAAAATAGGTCATCAGTTTCATATGGTGCTAGTAAAAGGATATTCACAGAAACCTACATTTCAGGAGAGTATATTTGAAGCTACATGGAAACTGTCACAGATCATCTACAAACCAAGCAGCTTCCAGGCCAAGACACAGAGTTGAAAATAAACTAGATCCCAGATCAAACCAGCCAAAATGTTTTTATTTAATTGAATATTTAAATTGAGGTGGCATAACAAATACTGCAAGTCTCCTGAAGGCAAAAGGCTTGCCTCAGAGGTTCTTAGCAGTATTGCATCCAGATTCCAGTGTGGTGCATGTCCGATCAACAGTCTGATATTAAGCACAGTGGATCTAATCCCACCGATGTCCTTGCTATTATTTAATTCAAGGATTAGGAGCGATTGGAACAAAAGGAAACAGAACACCTCCACTTGGTTAATGAGAAACTGCAAACTTGAAACATGTCAGGTTTTAAACTCTTCTCATTACATATACGGTTTAGTACGTATTTTAACGCAAGAATAGAGTCTAGAAATGATATAGAGGTAAGAGATTCTGAGCACAGAAAGAGTCTTGATATAAGAGCTGTGAGGATATAAAAGTCTTCATGAGTGATTGGTCTTACTTGATGAAAGTAGAATCTAGACTGGGTTTTCCTTTGTGTGTATCCTCTTTCATGTATTGTATATCAATCCAAACATACACCTACTATTCCTAGGAGACATATTTTTATAAAGAATTCTCCATTGTAGCTATTAAGAAAGTTATTCATGGACGTACTTTTTTAAAAAGTTAATTCGTCAGAGTGATTAATACTTCAGTGTACATCACCACCACCACCAAGAATCAGCCACCTAGCAATTCAGCAGTCGTCTCCTATAAGTCTATAACGGGGTGGCCAAACTTACTGAACCTTTAAGAGCTGCATACAACAATCTTCAGAAGTTTGAGAGTTGGGGCACACCTGCCGGGGCTCGGGGCTTCAGTGGGAGCTGGATTGAAGCCCCGAGCCCCAACAGGCACCTCCCATGGAATACAGAATCTTTTTTACTTCTAAATCCCCATTTGAATAAATCCCAAAGTCAGCAGTGATTAGAAGTTGACGGTTTGATGAGTGAGGTGATGGTGTTGTGTGATATGTACACTTAAAATACCATTATAGTTATCACCTTTGCTGGCAGTCTCAGCAGAAATGCCAAGAGCTAAATGGCATGGAGATTGAACTATTCTTTCACCTCTACAGACAGTCACTCTTCATCAGATTTAAGATTCATTGGTGTGTAGCGTAAGAAAGCTTGCACAACACTACTACCTATGCTATAACTGCTCTATTGATAAAGAGATCTTCTTCCAGGTTTGAAAAATCTTAGCATTTTTCATGAGCAGTAAATTCACTTAAGGCTAGAAATAAATTATTATGCTATCCTAGAGTAGTTTGTCTTTATTATGCAGTCTTCATAATATTTGAATATGTGAAAAACATTTGGAAATATGTCCCAGGATGGATTATACAGGTATGAAAATTTCTACAATATGAAAGTGTTGTCGTATTTAACTTGTATAAACCAAGCAGGGAAGTTTTTATTGAAAGATCATCTGTAATTAATTTAAATAAAATGTACAATTTACAAGCATTATTTTATATTTGTTCCAAATCAAGTAGCAGATCTATTAAAGGCTTTAATTATATTTTAATACATAGAATTATTTCATAAACCATCCTAATCAACAAGCATTACAAATACCAAATAGGAAGTGTTAAATATCTGAAATTACGCGTTTCCACAACACTAGGATAATTATTGAAAGTGTTACTGATTTTTAAAGAAGAATATATTAATCCTAAATAGAAATGTTAAGTCGTAAGTGTTATATAAACATGAACTGAACTCAATGTAAGCTATAATCTTTCAGTCAAAGCCTTAACATGGAAAGACAGACCTTCGGGGCTCATTTCACACTTTAATTATTTCATTTAATTATAAATATTCTTACTAATAAGCGCTAACATTCTGGAACAACTAAAGGTTTCAAATTATTTGATTTTAACATATGAACGAAGATATAAGAACGGCCATTCTGGGCCAGACCAAAGGTCCATCTAGCCCAGTATCCTGTCTTCCGACAGTGACCAATGCCATGTGCTTCAGAGGGAATGAACAGAACAGGTAATCAAGTGATCCATCCTGTCACCCATCCCCAGCTTCTGGCAAAAGAAACTGCCTCTGCCCAGTTTCAAACCAGGGCCCTTTTGCGTGTTAGCCAAACATGATAACCACTATACTTCATATAAATACAGATGTGAGATAAATAACATAGCACAAAAGCTTTAAAAACAGTGATTTTTGACAAAAATCTACAAATTCCACACTGGCAAAACTGCCTCCAATATTTGCTAAGCACTGACTGAGCTCAGTTCTATATGAGACGGGGGAGAAGAAAAAAAAAAAAAGACATGGACCTTGCCTCAGGAAGGCCAAAGTATTTCTCAAATGCGGCCACCAGGGGCTTTTCTTGTGGCCACAGGCTTCTGGGCAGTGATGGGGGGAGGGACAAAGCAGCGGCCCCTCCCCTGGGGCTGCCAGGAGGGGTTGGGCTCTGACCCCCTCAGGAGCCACAAACACTGGAGAAACAGACCGCTGTTGTGAGTTCTCCACCTTCCTGGGGGTGGTAGGGTTGAAGCTGGAACCCTCAGCCCCGGGTTGGTGGGGGCAGGCTCTGTCCCCTGATTACAGGGCTTCGGGCTCACCACTCCCCCGCCCACCACCCACACCCCCTGGCTTGAAGTGATTTCCATTATATACAGGATTTCAATGGTTCCCAGCATCCCCACTATAAAAACTGTTCCAGTGCCCCAGCCCACTGCCTCCCTCCCACCTCCCCATCCAAGATTTAATTTGTCCTCTGGCTTGACAGGGCTGAGTAAATCTGCTGTGAAAAGTAGGGCTACCATGTCCGGATTTCCCCGGACATGTCCGGCTTTTCGGTCTATAAATAGCCGTCTAGGGGGGGGATTTCTAAAAATCTAAAAATGTCCGGGATTTCCCCCCGGTCGGCTATTTATAGACAGAAAAGCGGCAGCCAAGCGCCGCTCGGTAGCCAAAGCCCCTTCCCTGCTTCCCCCATCCCCTGCAGCCTTACCACGCCGTCCGGCCCCGCAGCTGTCTTCCCCCTCCTCCCCTCCCCGGAATGCTCCACCCCCCCTGCTCCTCCCCCTCCCCTGCTTCCCGCAAATCAGATCTTCGTGGGAAGTCTGAAAAGAAGCAGGGGCAGGCGGGAGACAGCAGCAGGTAAGCTGGGGCGGGGGGAGGGGGGGAGGAGGAGAGCTCCGGGGAGGCACGGACCTGGCCGAGCGGCTCCCTCCGGCCCGGGCTGAGCAGCGCCCGGTGGCCCCATTGGCTCCGGCCCTGGCCCCAGCGCCTCGGGCTCCGGGGCACCAGCCCCGGTTCCGGCCGAGCGCGCCAGCCCGGCACCAGTGGCTCCGGCCCGGCTCCGGCCCCAGGGCGGCGGTCCCAGCCCGGCCCCAGCCGAGCGGCGCCTGCTGAGCACCCCCAGCCCCAGCTGCTCCTGCCCGGCCTGGCTCGGGCCCCAGGGCTGCGGCCCTGGTTCCGGCCGAGCGCACTGGCCCAACCCCAGCCGAGCACCTCCGGCCTGGCCCCAAGCCCCGCGACCCCGGCCGG